TCATTTAGGTGTCAATGTATTTAGCTTCTACAATAATTGAGGACACAAAATAAAAAAGAAATGAGAAAAAAATACCATAAAAAATATAATATGATTTATATATATGATAATAAAATTTAGATATATTAAGAATTTATAATATAAAATATATAGATAATAAAGATGATTAATTAATTAAGAATAAATAGTAGTCGATTCAGGAGGTGCACATTTTGCAACAGTTAGTATCATCTAAAAGCTTATCTAGGTCCATTTTTCTATTTTTCCTTTTGAAAAATTTAATACTAAYTGATGATCTTAGATCCATATCAAGCTTTGACCAAATACGTGGCCTTAAATACCTAATAAAAAGTTTACAAAACTCTTTTATTATTGTTATTATCATTTATTATATAATTACCAATGAAATATCTATTTTTCTCTATTTCGAAAAATTGATATCTTCACACGTGAAAATAACACCATTGCGATGGCTATTCAAAAATACACGGAAAGAATTGCCTGAAAAAGCCAAAACATACTTTCATACTTGTGAGAGATCTTTTCAACACTCGAAGATAAATTTCGTATCTCCGCGCGCCCATGTAATATCCTCTATTTCTTTTCGTTATGTTTTTATTTTTGTTTTTTTTGTTTTTTTGTCGTTATGTTATTTTATAAAACCTTTTTTAAATATTTTTTTCTTTATTTGGTGCCCTAGAAAGTCTTGCAATTTTTTCTCGATTCTGATTGGCTAACATTGTTTCTCCGCTCAGCTTGTAGTGTACGAATTGAGCATGTGCAGAGCACATGGGCGTACTACCAAGCCATTCACTCAGTTCGTTGTTTTTCTTCGATTATCTTGAATCAATATTAAGATCTTACATAACTAAATCTCGATAGATAATAAAATAACTAACAAATAAACTATAAAAATATTATGAGCAAATTTCAGCGAACGACCATTCCATTTGTTAATCACATTTTAAGAATCGTGAGAAATATTTATGCATTTTTTCTTGGTGTTCGTGTGATATTATACTCCAACTCAAAACCCCATGCATTTTTTTCTTAGTGCTTGTTTGATAAAAATAGCCGGCGGAACTATATTAAATCCGGTTCCCTCGTGTATGTTAAGTTTGTTAGAGATTTTAAGAATTTGTGTGCGTTTTTTGCGTGCTAGTTTTCTTTAGTTTCTTTAATTTTCCGAATTAAAAAAAAATTAAAGAATCAGGAAGCCCGAGTTTAATGAATTCAATTAATATGCTCCTAATTGAAGTCTGAAAATATAATGCAAAATGTAGATAACAAAAACCCCAAAAAATTATAGCTATTACTGAAACAGCTGCGAGCACGATTATGATCGACGAATCAAATGGCAGCTGATAACTGTCTGGAGAGAAATCAAACCATACCAAACAAATGGCTTCCGAAACGGATCGAATGTCAAAGGAAACGCGCTAACAGAACCGTCCTTAGATGTGGGATTTTCAAATGATTCGCACCGGCCAAACCGATCAGACCTCTGAGCCACTTTGCAGGTGTCTAGCATCGCGTGTTTTTCGTTGGTGTTGAGAGTCACACACGAACAAGATGGCATCCTACTGAGGAAAGTCTATTGAATGTTTCCGTTATGTAAGACCCTGTTTCACGAAAAGTTTATAGCTCTATTCAGCTACGACGCTAGTGTAATAATTCGCTAAACCAATCTTGAAAAGTCGGTTTGAAAACGTTGGTCATATAATTGATGTGATTTTAATGCAATCTCCAGGTTTTTTTAGTCTATTTTTTTTGTTATTTTCAGCAAATTTTACTTATGAGAGCTTATGTTGATTGCGTGACATGTAAGGTGTCGTCTTGCGTCGTCTTGTGTCGTCCGACAATCGTGTTTTTTTCTTGGTGGGCGGGCGCTCAGTATCCACCGGCGTTAACTCAACAAAAAGATAAGGCTTCGGTTCGTGGGATAAATGGCGGGAGATCAGTCACAACATGTGTGGCTCTCGACAATTTGTCAAAGGTTGTTATATAATTGATGATAACTGGTGCTGTTATCACGATTCATGCCGACCTTGGAACACAAAAAGGCGACGAGCCAGAGTTATATAACACAAGAAAATGCTCCGCCATCAATATTTATTATACCTCTTTACACTAACATAAACAATTTAAACGGATTTCTTTAAGACTCGGAATATCCGGTCGAATTCCTATGAATAACGTTAGGATTACAACTGACAAACAAATCAAAAGCACTTGTTGTCGTAAGAAGGGGAAGCGGCATTCTTTGTTATCTAGCAGAGTATCTTATCATAATGGACGTAAAAACAAAACGATTCCTGAAACCTGTAGAAATATGAGTTATAAAGTTTCTCAAATGTATTTGAAAACCTGCCATTTTTACCCTTTTTGGTTTTCTTTTCTTGATGTCAATGTTGTTGTCTTCTTCTTCTTCTTCTTCTTCTTCTTCTTCTTCTTCTTCTTCTTCTTCTTCTTCTTCTNTTCTTCTTCTTCTTCTTCTTCTTCTTCTTCTTCTTCTTCTTCTTCTTCTTCTTCTAATCGTAGTTTATTTTGTATTTTATGACAGTGAACTCGAATATCTTAAACAATACTGAATTAAATAAGTGATCTTGTTCAGTGACTTCTTCATTCCCCCCCCTGCTCTTTCTGTTCTTCTCGTTCTCCTCTCTACTTTATTTATTTATCCTTTTTTCAAATAACTTGCCGATAGGAACACTGCTTTCTCTTCTCTCAAGACTAACCGGCAATTCCATGAAGCAATTCATGCAAAATTAGTAACAGTACTGGATAGTTTATGCTAAATTACAAAGTTACATTTTCCCACATTACTTAAGACTTAAGCCAGGATAAGCTTTAAAAACGTCTATTATCCTCTACCATGTGGGAGTTAGACAAAATACTTATGTGATGATTATAAGAAGATATAAAGAAGGCAGGGAGTGGATATCAATGATATTAAAAGCACCGCAAGGTTTGAAAGATGTGTGAAAGTGCGGCTCTCTCTTCTCTTCTCTTCTCTTTTTTTCTCTTTATCCCTATCTCTTGTATGATGTATAATATAATGATTAATCTAATTCGAATACTATTAAGCGTTTCTCTCTCTCTCTCTCTGTCTCTCTCTCTGTCTGTCTCTATCTCTCTCTGTCTCCTCTTCTCTCCTTTTGCTGCACAAATGTCAAAATCCACGACAAAAGTCTTTGAGATCGAATTTGATAACAGCTACGTCTCAGTTCACACGTTTCGGCGCGGTTCAAGTATCATTATTGAATCCGGAGCGCTTTGGTCTGTAAGTGTCAAAATTCCTAAGGTTAAGAAAATTCCTGATCCGATAAATATACATAGTCCAAAAGAGCTTGATTTTCGCAATAGCTATGAAGAATAATCAAACCGAAGAAAATTGGAAATACATAGAATAAATAAGGAACATAGTATGTTGAAAATGAGGTCGGCAAAGAGGGAAAAAATTCCATAATTTTTTATAGGGGAAATAAATTTATGTTAATAAGTTTTTTATTCGCCGTAATATCTAGAGATTGTCTATAGACGGTCATGACTCACCTCTGTATTATCACATCATCTATTTTTGCACGTTATCCTTCAACTAAAATAGAAAAACACTTCCATAAAGAAAACTTTCTCCACGTATCTGTCGGCTCACACGTGCTTTGTTAGGTCACGAGCATTTCCGGAAGTTTATCGTTGATACCGGAATGGGATTCCGAGCTCACGTCGGCGTTTTATTTGTACAGTCGTGCCTTCGTAAATTTGTTCGTGTCCCCACATGGTGTAACGCGTAGTTAAAAATCCCAAGTCAAATATTTCTCCAAAAAGGAATAATGGTGTCATAGGCTTTTATTGGTTRATGATTCAAACGTTTAGTCAATCGGCACTAGAAATAAGTCTTACAGTGTCTATTAAAAAGATCCCCACATGATGTAATGACGGCTAGAGATACGAGCCCAGTGTGTGTTCACATCGAATGACCCAGAAAACCTTTCTCATGGCGAAGCATCTTTTGATGGCCGGCGACCTGAGGAACGCGTTCAATAAGATTAAATAAAAGCTGCTCGTAGGTTCATTAGGAAATGGCAACAAGTGGTTTGAAAGGAAGGAAGAGACTGTGCGGGAATAAGTCGGATATTACTGATCCGCTATTATTTGACGCAAAACCATTCCTTCAAGACTTATGCCAAATGTATTTGTTTTGTCCATTAAACCCAGGAAGTCCACCGCGTTAAACTATAAGAACAGGCTTTTCTTTCAAAGGGGGGCTATTTGCCGTGTCCTTATTTAAGCGCCCAACTTTATTCCAAGCTGACGGGCTTGCGAGAAACGAGTAAACTTGGCTAAATTATTTTCAAGCATGTGTGGAATGATCATTCAGGTACGTAAAGTGAAACTGTTACTTTAAGACTATTAGGAGTTAGCTTTGACCTTAAGATGATGCTTTAATTGATGTGTTAACATAATGTTTGCTATCTAATATAATAACAGATGACTTACACACTCACAGCTTTTTTATTCTGTGCTATTCTGAAGCACAATTTTCTATTCTAGAGCGAGATTCGCGAGAGATGCTTCTTCTCAATTTGTTTCAAGGCACGCTTTCTCGCTAAAGAATCCTTTCATAAAACGATTCTTAAGAGATTTCTTATTTCGATGGCAAATTTTGGCAAAGATTTACGTTTATTGCTAAGTAGCAACAATTTATTCAATTTATCGAAACTCATAGCCATAGACGTGAAATAACTACTACAGCCCTATAGTTGGCCGTACACCCTCAGATTCAGTGAACAGACGAGATTGAAAACAGGGAAATCCAGGTTTTTTTAAATTGAAAATAACGGGGGCAAAAGTAAGAGAGTACTGAAAATTCTTTATAAAAAGAGTGTTCACTGGAATTGGATTTCTCTCATGATTATCAATACCAATTTGATAGTGCTGATATAGTTAATGCAAAAAAAAAAAAAAAAAAAAAAAAAAAAAAAAAAAAAAAAAAATCTAAACTAGGAGAAATATTCATCCAAAATATTATATATTTTCTCACTCGAAAACCTGGCCACACGTATAATGAAGGCACATAGGGGAGTAGTGACCATGACTTTCTCTCAATGTCAAGTTCAAAGGATTTGAATTTCCAGTACCTCGTGGTGCGATCTTTGAGTAGAAATAACCGTCATTTCTCCTTAGAACATCCTTTAGATTAGAGCCCGTAAAACCAGCATGAAAAGGTGGAGAACAAAAAAAAAAAAAAAAAAAAAAAAAAAAAAAGATCAGCGAACTTATTCAAATAACTAAAATAGAACTTGCCAAAAAAATTTTTTAGGCCACAATCGATAATAAATCGGGAGAGATGAGTGGTAATAATAAATAATAATAATAATAATAAATTATATTTTATATAGCGCTAATTCCGGTAAGCCGTGTGGGATGGGCTCGGATATCAAATAAGAACATGCGTAATAGGTAAATTACGAGCCTTATATGAAACGGCTGAACAAGAGGGCCAATGGGCCTTTCACTACTTCAAGCCAGCTCAACTAGAAACCAAGATAACAAACGATTATAAGTCATTTTAGCCGGCACAAGTAAAAGCAAATACATTAGGTTTTTGAAAAAAGTTTCAMATACTGGGAAGTTAGTCAATAACTATCGCGTTATTGCATTTTTCACCTGAATCAAGGTAAATCTATGATCAGTACTGTGGTCTTCGATATTCTGCGAAATCTTTAGCTACAAGCTGCACGCTTAAAATTTTTTTTCCGCTGCTGTCAATCAAAGCTAATCAGTCAGTAACCTTTATGTTCTTGACTGGCGGCAGTAAAAAACCAATTTTACAAACAGGCGTTGAATTTTCTGAGCTCTCAGAATATGGAAAACGGCAGGATTATGTAGAGTCGATTGACAAGCAAAAGGGAACTAGTTGAATAGATGCGAAGCATATTTCGTGACTTTTGGTATTTGCATCTAGCGATATGACGAGTGATTGCTGATATTTGTAAATCTATTCTCTTACGTATCACCGTGAGAAGGTCACTTTTTTCCTTGATCTCCCAACAAGCGGAAGAACAGCTTTACAGATAGGCGTGTTATAAAAAACAGGAAAAGAATTCTGCGCATGCTCTGAATCCGTATGCAAATTAGTCAAAACATAAGTAAATTTTACTTTCAAACATGCCTGATAAATTGGACTTCACAAAATGCCAAAACTTAGTGTCCATGCTTGAAACTTAAGGCTAATTCTTTCATATTGTGTTTGTTAATACAGTATCTTGGTCTGACAAAAGTATACTCTCGAACTTTTTAGTATACTTGTAGAAAACAAACAATTATTTTCTCACTCAAACTCTTCTAAATTCTTAAAAAGCGTGCTAAAATGCACGCATGCCCAAACAATGTTTTTCTCTAGTGTCCACAGCGGCCATGTTGGTGTACCAAAACAATATATTTTCTATCCTCCGGGAATTGAACTCTATTTTTATGCAAAAACTGTGCAGAAAGTTTCTATTGTTTGGTATAAAGATGAGAGTATGTGGACCGCGTGGCACTAATGAAATAGTAGAAGATAATATAGTTGTAGTGCTTGGGAACGAGGTTATTCCGGGCGAAAGCCCTCGGAATTAAATTCGGAAAAATTAATTTCCGACCTCGCTGGGATTCGAACCCACGACCTTCGGAATTGTACTACCKATGCTCTACCAGCTGAGCTAGAGGTCAGACTGAGAGCAGGCCGGGGTGAAATAGATGTTAGGTCGCGGTAATTATGATGCAAAGATGAGAGTATGTGGACCGCGTGGCACTAATGAAATATTAGAAGATAATATAGGTAAGTTGTAGTGCTTGGGAACGAGGTTATTCCGGGCGAAAGCCCTTGGAATTAAATTCGGAAAAATTAATTTCCGTGGGTTCGAATCCCATCGAGGTCGGAAATTAATTTTTCCGAATTTAATTCCAAGGGCTTTCGCCCGGAATAACCTCGTTCCCAAGCACTACAACTTACCTATATTATCTTCTATTGTTTGGTATACCAAAATAGCTGTCTTGTCACGTGAGTGAAAACGCTCTAGCGATTTCTAAAGCCCTTGAAGAAAGATTTGTCTGAATTGAGCTTCATTTTTTCAAAAAGTTATTAACCTGCTCCCCAACTAAAATAAACTTCAAACTATTCCTTCGTTAACATAATTTCAAAGTCTTGCCCGAAAATGCCTTGTTTTAAATCTGAGCACGCGATACTTTTGGCAGCGCTCGCGCATCTCGAAAAAGATCTATTATACTGCGGTGCTTTGGCACAGCGGTTTGTGGGAGAATACGCAAAGAGACGAAGCGCTTTGCCGGCCGCCATCAGCTGAATTTATTCATATTTTAACACTCCAACTGTGTAAGATTTACCATTGTGCTTCTTACAAAGAAACCGCGGCCATTGGCCTGCCTTAGCCTCGCTTTCGTCTATTTCAACACAGAAACCGCTGTACCGTAGGTTTGAATCGACAGCATCGTGTAAAACCCATAATATTTGGTATGACTTTTCTTCCAGATTTCAATCCTTCAAGTGGCGCTGGTCTTCGTCTGGTTTATAGGAGTTAGTAGCTTTCCCACCTTAAAAGACAAGAAAGACTACCCTAAAATAACACAAAAGGATGAAAAACAAAGAGAACTAATCAATCAAATGCTTTCCAAACGGACCAATGACATGTCAGTAATACTGCGCAGCCGCAGAGCACTCACGGTAGATTTTCCATCCGTACCAACCAACACGGATCGAGGAATACTTTTTTCCAAGACTAATAACATGCTTGCAGTCTTCCAGAATGGCACAGTCAAGGGTATTAACGATCAAAATTCCCCACATGGTAAGATATGGCTCGAGTTCTCTGAGGTCGCGCACGGTTAACTTCGAATATTCTTGTGTTCAAGTGAAATTCCATTTAGGAGCGTAGCCAGGATTTTCCGAAGCGGGAGGTCCAAATTGAAAAAACGCCATTTTATTTGAGGCCCCAAAACGCTAACGTTTTTCGTATAATTTCGCCAGTTATGGATAATAAGAAAGAGCCAAGACACAGGCAAAAGGTTTTAACAGCTCCTTAAACTTGGTATACAGTCAATTCAAAAAACGTTGTCGTCGACCGGCTCAAGCCTACGCGGCTGGACCGAAAGAAATATGGGTAAAAATCACTGAAACGGTTAGATATTCTTTCTGAATTAATTGTTCCTGCTAGTATTAAGATAATAATGGCGAGAAACAATCCATCAAATGCATGTCTTTGAAGTTAGGGAAAGAAAAACAAAGTAGTTATGATTCAGTTCACAATTCCGAAAATATGAAGGCATTAAAAAAACGTCTCCTTCAACACTTCCCGCTCGTCTACGAAGGTTCATGCTGTAAACCAGGCATACCTAATCAGATAAAATTATGGAGTCAACTCGGCTTCAATGATTACTACCCAGAGTTCCTTTCGGTCCAGTCACGTAGGCTTGAGTTGGTCGACGACAACATTTTTTGAATTGACTGTACAACCAAGACGAACAACGAAACTCGAAGAAAACAAAATGGCCGACCAAGGTCGGTCACGTGACTAACTATAAGTACCGCTGACTGGTACTGGCGTTTGGAAATTAAAAGCCGCCATTTTGTTGCCTAAGCCCCTGCTATCAAATTCAAAGTGTTGTATTGTGGAAGTCGTGTATTCTTTACCGTTGGTATTTGTGAATATTCTAACCCTCAATTGCGAGGCTAATCCTAAGTAAAATAATGTGCATTTTATGAGTTTGAAACTAGGTGTATTGATGGTTTTCACGGCGGCCATGATGGAGGAACTTAACAAAAGAATTGTCAATGAATTCTTTTGTTATATCCTCCAACTTGGCCGCCGTGTCTTTTGTTATTTAATTCTCTTGGGAATGGTTGAAAACCATCAATTGCCGTAATGTTGTATGAAGCAAACTGCCAGGACAGCACATAAAATGTCACGTGATAAAAGGGATCGTGTTTTTAAAATAAAAATTTTTCTCTACTTTGTACTGTAAAATTTGGAAAGTAATCCTGATATTCACTTCGCCTTCGGCCAATAGTTGTTAATTATACTGACGTTGCATATGTATATATTTTTCCTTCCAGTGCAAATGGAGCGACAATCATTCAATACATCAATAATAAGAATCATGGCTGTTGAGACAGGTCTTTATGTCGCGATGAAAAAGAATGGACGCATTGTTGCCACAGTAAGTTTTGTTTCCCTAAAACAACGTGTCCGTAAATAGATACTCGTGAGGGATACGGAAACTGCTGGCTCACCCGTGCACCACACAATTAAGGGGGGTCTAAAGTTAAACCACAGTGAAGGATGGGGGGGGGGGTGGGGTGGGGGGCTAGATGTTAATTTCATACACCATGGAGGGGGGTGAATTAGTTATTCAAACTCAAAATATTTTGTAATTGAATGACTTCTAAAATAATTTCAAGAACAGTGCATGGGCATCTCGTACCCAGAGCCTGCGTTTTTTTTTGGCCTTCAGTGAAGAACGAGGGCTCTGGCATAATCCATTTTTGAGACCAGGATTTCTTGGACTTCCGGTATAACAGCGCACGCGTTCAAAGACTTGCCAAAAATTAAAAAAAAATTTTCCCGATTTTTAATTTTTATTATGATTTTGACTTTGATTTTGACTTAGATTTAACTTTTACTTTGCTTATTTTAAACGTTTATATCTCACTTTCCAAAAATTGCGCATGCGCCAAAATATGAATTATGTCAGAGACCTCGTTCTTCGCCGCAGGCCAGAAGAAACGCAGGCTCTGGGCACGAGATTGGCTCTCCCCGTATCCATATTCCTGTGTTTGCTCATGCGCAAGTGTTTAGCTAAGAAATAATACTCTTGGGAATGACACGTGAACTGAAATGCGAAACCATTACTCCCAAGAGGTCCTTTCGACGAGTCAAATCATTACCGCATCTTTTTGTATTGCTCTTTTTGTTCCAGAACAAGAAGGATTCCACATCACTCTGGATCGAGAATCACGAAATGAACAGCTATATCACTTACCGGTCGTACCACCTGTCCGACAAGTTTAACTGCACCAGCAAATGGTTCTTGGCTATCAAAAACAACGGAAGAATGAAAAATGGCAACAACACGTTGAGCGGAATGAACTCAGCGCAATTCCAGTTCCTAGATTAAAGTACTTAAACTATACGTTCCAGAGCAAAGAAAAGGATGATATTTCAAGACAGGGATATTTTCTTTCTGGGCATTAGGCTTTGCCGAGAGAGTACTAGTACCTCGTCCTAATCCTCAAAAGCTAAGCAGATTATTGAGTACTGGGATCCCTGTGGATAGACTTGATAGAATTCATTGGACCGTTCCAATCGTGGCTTCAGGGTATTGATGGTTTTCACGGCGGCCATGTTGGATGAACTTAACAAAAGAATCGTCGATGAATTATTTTGTTGTCCCCCAACATGGCCGCCGTGTCTTTTGTTATTTAATTCTCTTGGGAATGGTTGAAAACCATCATTTTGTTTCCCTGACGCTTGCAAATGGTTTAAAATAATATATACAAAAAACAGAATGGATTCATTCATGCTTGGTAGAGGTGCGTGAAGATGTCATATGACGGGGGCGAAGTGGTTGTAATGGTGAGGTAGGCGAGCGGATAACGTTTAAATTTTCTTTGCCTCTCCTCTTAAAATAATGATTAGCCCCAGGAGAAAGGGGCTGTAACTTCGAATTTTAGTTAAAAAATGTGTTGAAAACTGATCATCCAAAAAAAAATCAACACAAAAATGTAAGTTTGTTTTCCGTAAGAATATTCTCTGATTTGTTTTAAGCATTCCTGGAGTGAGCAGTCAGAGCAAAAATGAGGTCATTTTTCTTTTATATGGTTTAGCGGGTCGTATCTGCCCACATTTAGAAATATTTATTTTGAAACCAAAGTTGATGTTATTTATAGAGTATTATTAGTAAGTCACGTGGTAATGATCCACGTGATCAGTATTGTCCAGTGACGACACGGATGTATATTGCATCTTAAATAAAGATGTTAACTAAGAGCAACAAAAGTCTGCTGAAGTTTTTTGTCTTCAACACATTGGTCTTCGATTCCTTGATAAAAGTATTTGAACCCCACATGATCTTACGACTTTAAATGGTGATCAAACATGTACCGTCAGCCAGAAAAACTCTATCGAAAACTCAAAAGATGAAAAAACGTACTGACGTTTCGGACGCTAGTCCTTCGTCGGAGTAAAAGAGAAAGAGGTGGCAGAAAGGAATGTATATATGATAGACGAAGGACTAGCGTCCGAAACGTCAGTAAGTCTTTTCATCTTTTCACGGTATATAATTTACCTTTTCATCATTACTGTTTCATTAGAAACACCGGCGCAGCTCACACTAGTTTTTAGCTAGTTATATTTTCTTATTGAAAACTTAGTTAAATTGTGATTCAGCTGATGAACATCGCGCATGATCGACTGGAAATTATGAGTGAGACTAATTGAAACCCAGCAATTCTCAATTATAAACCTGAAAGCGCTATAGCTACACAGGGGGCAGAAGGGGGAGCACTTATTGTTATATTATTTGCCTCTGTACATAATATGAGTAAGCTTGAGCCCGTGAGATACCGCGCGCTGCAATGCTCGAGCTGTGCTTTAGACCTAACGGTTGCTTGATAGAGTGCTCACACTAAATCCGTGAAACAAATACTAATTTTTAGCATAAAATAGTGACAATTAAACAATAGAAAACAAAGGATTCTGTATGAAATAGTACTAATTAGTACTATTTAATGTTCACGGTTTTAGTGCGTGCACTCTAGTAATAATACTAATACTAATTATAATGTATTACTAGAATGATTTTCACATGACCGTGAAAGAAAATAGACCATTTAGTTTGTAATAGTTGATAAAGAACAAAAGAAAATCATTGGTTTAGAGTCTACTACTAACTATTAGTTTGTCTATTCTTTCACGATCATATGAAAATCACTCTACGCCAAGCAACTGGAACAGTTAGGTCTAAGGCACAGTGCACTCATTTATCCTTTTCCCGTTAGGTCTAAGGCACAGCGCGCTCATTTATCCTTTTCCCGTTAGGTCTAAGGCACAGCGCGCTCATTTATCCTTTT